GCGCTTGCCACTACATTTGAAAAACGTTCCATGCAACGCACTTTGTAACCTACTGATCTTTGGTGCCATCATATCCACTTGTGGTTGACAGACTGATAAATGTCCAACGATGAAATATTCATGAATGATGCTCGAATATTTACATGCCTAACCTATGAAAGCTCTCATAATTTCAACAAGCTCAAGTTGCATTTCAAACACCGTTGAACTATAATGATCGAAGGTAGGAATTTCAATCTAAATGAGACGCTCAATAATTGGTTTCCGTTCAGCAACAGCTGCTAGGTACTACAAGCACATTTAATTTCATCCATGGGTATAGTTGTTTCATAGAATAATATTGACGTTGAAGAGAAGGTTAGCAAGGTCTGCTGAAAATGTCATGTCCTACCCAAATCGTTGTCGACTAAAATGAAGTATTCAACACTTACTTGGATACCTTGACGGCCCGTCCTCACTGGTTGTATAGACCCCAGCAGACTCCTTTTTTCGGAATTTTGCTGGTTTAGCCATTGTGTTCCCCTGCAGTTCCGAGGTCAGCCTGGTCAAAGTCTGCCCCAGGTCGTACCGCAGGCAGTCTTAGCCGTTGTGGATCAGAGAGAGATTTGCCACCATGCTACTAGTTTGATACAAGGACGGTGGCCGACTTTGGGATACCTTGCCGGGCGAATGAATCTCTCAGCTATACATTGTAGCCCGACACCCAGGAACACCTCTCAGCCGTGATGAAGCGGAAAACCATTGGGAGCATTCAGCACTTAGAAATAAATATTCTCTTAATAACTCCAGCAAATCAAGAAGTGAGCAAATCTACCCTATAACAACTTCAGACTACAAATGGCAGTATACTACAGTAATAGCAATTCCATCATCCTTGCACGATGTCGAATAAAAATAGAAATTTGCAATCGTTGCAAGGCTAAGTATTTCCGCCTTCGTTCTCCCTAATCTATTTTCTCTTCTTCTGAGAACTATTTATGACATGGCGTTCGAGGAGCACAATAAGAGATGGTGGTAAATCGGATCTTAAAACTTTCACTAGAGGAAACGCCTACCATAGGATTACAACCTAAATATATATGTATGAATGCGTCGCTTTCCGGCGGTTTCACCTTCTTCTGAGCCTGGAAAGGTCAAATAGAAATGCAATCTACTCAGCAAAACACTTTCATAACCCTAGCAGAAAAAACTTAACTAATAAATTTGTATTCGCATAAGAAACAGCTTCATTTAAACACCTGCTTATTTGTTGTACTTAAGTAAGTTGGTGGATAGCAGCCGCACAGAGTAATACATGGGTGAGAACTGTGCCTGTGTCAGGTTATCGGATTAGCCTGAGGTAATCATGATCAACAACTTCTCGAAACACTCACCGCTTTTTCGTTACTTCCAATGAGGAAGGCTAGAACAGGCGATTATAGTCGCATATGGTCGATTACTGGACCACCCCACATCAGTAATTGATCCGAAGACACGGAGCCAGGTCGCGTGTGACCTCTCCGCATTCCTCTCTGCTATTCATAGTGGGGTTTTTGGCATTGATCCAAAAAGCCTCAAAAAGTTTGCTCGTTGGTGTCTTACTCTCCTGTGCGAGGATATTGACTTTAATTTCAATATTGTCTCCGCTATGCTTTTGTATCCTATGCGTGTCTAGTGGAGTACTTTGTCTTATTTTTCGTTTTCCATCAAAGTGTTATTTTATACGGATACACAAGGGCCTGCCCGTTTTGCCAAATATTCGTCTCTGCAATCTTTAAAAATATCAGGTATATCGTACCTGAACTCATGTAATCACCAAACCTACCGTAAGGGCAAATTGCGCAATTTGTTGTTTCACATAGACGGTCATACAAGCTGTTACGAACTGACGACGTAGAGGATCCGGTGGTATTTCAAATATCGCTACCGATTCCTCTAGACCTGCCCTTTTTAAGCATCGCTTTACACCTATGCTTACTTCATCGCTAATAAAGGGCAACATAAACGGAACTTTCTTTTGGCCAAGTGTTTCGTTTCGGCGCCTCGCTCTACTTCTAAACTTATCTCGTGAGGTTACTATTTCGTAGCCATTGGAGATGGCTATTTGCCGAGACAAGTCGCGCGATTCTCCCTTTAGTTCCCTGGTAGTGCACACAGAGGTGGCTGTTCGAAACATGTTTCTCACAATCGCCCTCTTTGTGTGTGAAGGGTGGGAAGAGAGGCGGTGTAACTTTGTCATATAACCGCTAATTGATAAATTGATTTGATCGTTAAGAAATGGAAGACAGGTCTGTTTCGGTTTCTCCCGGGTGAATTTGATATACTCGGATTGCTCATTCAATAATTCAAAGCATTTGTCCATCTCCTCCTGAGTAGAGGTGACAAAAGAATCTATATGTCTGTAGTAGAGTAGGTCGATAACAGGGTCTTCTGTTCTAGACATGAACGCGATGGCGAGACTTGGTATCAACCGCTGTCCCATTGCCAACCCTCTCATTTGCGCGTAATATTTCCCAGATCATCTGAAGATCGAGCAGTTCAGGCACTCTTTTAAGAAAGCCATAAACAGCTGAATAGACAAGCCATGCATGTGTATTCCTTTCTTTCATGTTTAGCAAGGAGTTCGTAGATAGCTTGCATTGCGGGGTCATTCGATACGTTGGTATCGAGCGCGGAAACATCGAAAGACCCTATCACGTACGCGTTGTTAGGAGAAGCGTTACGTAGACGTTCTAGGAACATTTGGGTGTTCGTAAGATGAGCTGGAATATGGCTAAGCAGTTGGGTAAGTATTCGGCTTAGAAACCAGGTTATTTTATTATATTCGTTGTATTCTATTATATTCTATTGTTATATTCCTTTTTAACGGCAGGGTATTATGTGTAAAATAACATATATGTATACGATATGTGCTCCCCAGATCAATCCCGTTTCGTTCCTCACAGCAGACACAAGCGGTTCGGAATTTTGCAAATATCACAGCATAATTCTGGCTATATATACTGTTCGATAATAAAGCAATGAACTATTACCTGAAACTAAAAGCTTACGTCTAATTTAAGCATGTCTTTTCCTCTGCATCTCCCGTGACAAGTGACATTAACTAGGGATGACTGCTTTCCTAGCTGTTTGCTTCCTTCCTATCTAGAGCATGAAGCGGAACGATATAGTACACAAATCGGAAGTGCAGTCCATTTCACCTTTTGTTTTCTTGTGCAAGACACATCCAATAAGCGTTTGATTGGCTATCAATATATTTGCTAGCTATAGGTGCATTTCACTCACAATTTTTCGAAAGAAAAATGATATACCATATATATACCAAATACCACATAAATTCTCTGCAGTGGGGAGAAAGGATAGATTTCGAAAGCTGAATGCCATGGCTGCAGTTAGAGGAGCACTGTGATGTACAAAACTGCACTTTCCAAAACCAGATGAAGTAGACAAAAATATGAGCCGACTTTTCTTCCTCCATATTAGGAGAGCTGTGCTATAAAGCGATAAAGCTCCCAACAATGATCACCCCTGAGGAATAAGCCATGCACTCGACTTCATCAAGTATGGCTAGAGGTGATTAAATGTTTACCTAGGCTATAAACTGATTTACGGTGAGCTACCGATATATGAACGGGGTTTTTATCCCCCGAGATAAGTAGAAATTCGCCAAATCCAGAAAGACGGATGGCTTGGTAAGCTTTGGCACGGTATAGATCCTAATACCACTTGCGTATCGAAAGTACTTCTGCTGTCCTATACTCATCTTGGTTCGATTGACATCTTATAATAGCATTAACAGGTAAACATGTTGGAATTATCTCCGAATAAGTTGATGCTAGCAAAAAAGACATTTTCCAGTGAATAGCTGGAAATTATTGTTATTAGTGAGCAGAGCAACAGTGGAGTTAATGGAAGCCAACTCTTCACCGAATAGTCCATTCATGCATATTTAAGACAAATTTATATCCTGACTCAATCAATAGTTTACAAAAAAGAAAGAGGAACACCGTCAATGATGAATTTTGACTGGAATCTTCTGCACAAAAGTCGGTAACAATAACACGGGAGTTTTAGTATGCATTTCGGAAAGAGAAAGAACAAGAATAGTACTATATATCGAACTCTAACCAGCGAACTAGAAGGAAAGACGAAAAATCCCAATCAAAAATACTACAACGAATTATTCTGAAGTGAGAACAGGAAACTGTTGAAATAACAGAACCTGAAAAGAGCACAGATTTTGGTCTTCAAACAATCATTGCAGAGAAATGAAGTGTGGAGTTCTTAAACGGTACACGCATCACAGATGTTCGATAGTAGGTAGGCAGCTCATTCCTAATTACATTTACAAATGATGAAGAAAAACAGAAAACCACTGTGGCCAGGGACCCGTGTCAAACGATCTCCACTACGATAGAATTCGTTCATAATTTACGGCTGACAATGGAATTCTACAATAAGGAGAACAAGCAGAACTAGAAGTTTGTGGTATTACCCATTTTACCTGCTATGAGGTTGCAGGGTACACCTCATTGAAGTGAATCATTGGATTACGATAGCTACGAGTAGCGGAGTAAAACGATATTCCTTCATAGAATACGAAGATTTTTGCTAGTAGTCACTAAATATAAACCAACTCTCATCACTACGTTCGCCAAAACTGCACTAACCGTTTAGCAAACCTATTAATTACTTATGCTAATGAAGGACAGATCATATCCTCTCATGCAAACGTTGAGAATAAAAACTCTGTCGTTTTTCACATCTAACATACAATTCACATAGCATTTAAAACCGTAAGAAATTAAAACGAAAAAGTTGACCACATTACAACGAAATAAGGTGATTACCTTGAAATAAAGCCGACATAGTTTTAAAATTGTTTTAGAAACATAATTTTAGAATAGCGACCCGTTCTAATGAGCTCAGATCAGAAACATGAGGAGTTTGGTATGCACAACATCCTTAACGCAAACCGTAATCGAGTGCTGAATTGATGAAATGTTCGACAGCAATAGATGTCATATCAGAAGGCTTTGGCGTCGAGATGCCTTCGTCGCTCGCTGTAGATGGTTGAGATGACTGTGATCCTTGTACGCAACATCTAGCGACACACCTTCAACGTCCATCACCGATTCGTCTTCACTCAACGACATCACCTTAACAGTAGGGCTTTGATGCGACGTGAAGGAATTTCTTCTCAGCAGCCGTTTATCAACATATCACTGATAACATATAAAGACGACGAGAGGTTGTTAAATAATAAATGAAGTCGATTTTCTGTGATCGAATCATAACTATTTGAGTCACGAATACTTTAAATGCAACCTATACTTTTACCGAACTACTTTTTTCTGAAATCTAGTCGTTTTTTTTCGAAGCATTATGGTTTCGGTAAGCTGGTACATCTCTAAATAACTAATCTAACTGATACAAGAGCGGATAGAGATTGAGTTCTCTCTTTATCTTGATGTGGGGCATCTGAAATATCGATGGCACTATGGCCAGAAAAGCAAGCCGATCATATTACACTATAAACAGTGCAGTAATTTCTTTTAAAGGGAACATCTTCTCCTACAACAAAAAAGCTGGCAGCACATCGTTCAGTTCGTGAGACAACGCGACAGAAAACTTGGTAAAAAGGCTCCAAAAGTCATGCAAACTAGTGATTATATGAAAGCCGTTGATAAATTGCTTTCCATTTATTTCATTCAGTACTTCTTAAAACGTACCTTGGAGGGCAGAACCATGAGAAAGCTGTGACGCATAGATTCCTGAGCTGATATTCGATCACGGCCTTCATACTAAAAATATTAAACATATACTAGCAAAAAGAAAAAAGGCAAACGTACGTCTAGGAATAAATGGAAGAAGTTAGTAGAAATAAACGAGAAAACCACCTGCAGAAATTTTAAGAGAAGATCATAGCCGTTAGCATCTAGTCGTGGGATTTGTCGAATCAAAGGTTCAGGATTATAAACCTTCTGGGCGAACGGAGCATATGCGGGTCGCGCGCATATCGTTGGATGACGATCACTCCTTGGAGAGCCCAACGTACTGGAAGGAAAGAACTGACCGATGACTAAAACCATCGTTGCTCAGCAAAAATGGAGAGGCCAAACATTAGGAATGACAATGAATTAACAAAAAAATGAAACTAGTTATGCAGTACTAGTACCGAGAATGACAGTGACTCCCTCACATGTCGTAGATTATTAAAAGTCCGGTTTCTCTGCTAGGAATAATCCACATATGTTGGCTTTTTTTTAAAGTTCCTATGGCAAAGTTGTGAATAATTCGACTATTGAGTTTTGGGTAGTATTTTGCACCACACATTGTGGCTATCTAATCCATAAAAATATAATTCTAATCATGGAACGAAGTTCTGAAAGTGCTAGTAACAGTGGATTCAACGTACCGAAATATCAGGCCGAGTTGTTCGTCAGTCGTTGATCCTGGAAACAATGCACGACCAGCCACCATCTCGAAGAGAATACATCCAACTCCCCACATATCGATATGAGTCGAGTAGTCAGTTGATCCTGAACGGCTTTATTATTGGAATCGATGTAACAAACAACCAAATGAGAATAGGTAAATATTGTAAAATGAATAGAAACTATGACTGACGACTGAAACGACTAAAAACAAGATGAACTTCAAATAAATAAACATCTGTTTGAACCTAGGTATAAAAATCAATGTTCCGCATAATTTATAGTATGGAATCATCTTCTTCTCGAAAGTTGTTCAACTTTTCATCAGTTTCAGCTCCAACATATCTTGAAAATAATTCTACTAAAACGTGCTTATCCAATCAATACGGAGAACTCGTTTACATACTCTGACGATGACTCATTACGTATGCAAGCAGAGATAATCAAAAATTTCCAGATCATAGGTTTCCGCATTATAGAATAACATTTCGCGCACTCATAAGAAGAGAAATAAAAGGAGACGTCGAACGAATAGAATTATTTTCACTCTCTCAACTAGATGAAAGACTATCATACCGTATACCATCTTCATTCTGAAGAATACTGTAGCACATACTCAACACAGTGACAATGTGAGCTAAACACTGCTATACACCTAGTGCATTGATGGATTACTGTATTTGTTTCTTTTACAAGAGCTTTACTGCACTCGTTTATTATTTCGTGAATTTTGAAAGATATTTGGCCTCAACATCACGCATCAAGTAAAATTTCTTGAATAATTAAGCCAACGCGAGGTTGTCATTAAGACTTCTATTCGACCAAATAAAAGCCTTTACAATATTAACTTTTCATTTACTGCCTACTTTTTTTAATGGCAGGGATATGTTGCGAAATATAACTTCAATGAAGCTGAGATATTTGCAAAACTCCGGACCGCAGGTTTCTGCGGTGGTGAACGAACGCGCCATTGTCCTTTCCGGGGAGTAACGCGTTCACCACCGCACCATACGGGTCCTTCGTTTCACCTGTCTCTCAGCTGGTTCTAAAATCAGTGCTATCATCAATCACCCGTCAAAAGGATTGATCTGAGCAGTACAAATTGGCATTGAACCCAGTTAAGTCTTTATGAGAACCTCGTGTTAGATTAATGCTTCAAGAAAGTACTGATCAACTGCACCGAGGTTAAAGCAAAGTTAGTTTCCAAAGTATCAAATAATGTTCAAAAAACGGAGTCACTAATGCGTTAAAACAAGTGAAAATGAATATGCCTGATAAATCCTCTTGATACAGACTTCGAACAAAACGAAACCTGAAGTTTTCTTCCTAACTAAAAGTTGTACTTGTAAATAAGCGTTAAAAAACGAATCACGAAAAGGGAGTCGCAAAATGAAAAACAAATATTTTAAAGGTTAAAAACAAACTAGTAAGTGATAAAAACGCTAAGAAAAAACCTACCTAAAAGTACATCTGGTGGTCGGTACCACAACGTGACCACCTCATTTGAATAGGTTTTGGTAGGGACAGATTTCGCCCGCGCGAGGCCGAAATCGGCCAGCTTCAGCTCGCCTTTCGCTGTGATAAGCAAATTCTGAGGCTTCAGGTCACGATGGAGTACTCGGCGCTGATGGCAGTACGCGAGACCTCGTAGCAGTTGGAATAGGAATAACTGTAACATCACTCATCAAAATTCAAAAAAATTACTGGACATTGGAATTAACCAATTCACCTCCCCAAAAACCGAGAAAGCCCATTTTCTATATAATAACTAGGTACACTTCATGAGAAATAACTAGTATAACTTTGTTCTGCATGATGAGTATAGCTGCGATTTCTTGCCTTTTTACCAAGACACTAACATAAACACCATTGCTGATAAGGAATGTACCAACATTACTTTTGTTGCAAATAATTAAAAACGTTGATGTCTACGGATGTTTTATCTTTGGATAACATTTTTACTAAAATGAGTCATGAGTGACTCATGCAGCGCACACGACAGCCACTGGTAATTAAGCTTCACCATGAACTTGTGAAACATTTAATAAATGCACGTTTTAACCAACTAATACAGCCAAGAAGTTGTAAAACATGGTGAAGGACCACCGACGTTTAGTTTTAATGACTACAATTTTTAAAAAAATTTTACAGCATAGCACACTGGTGATTCGCATCAAGACTGGGATAAATAATAGCCTTTTTTTTTCTAAATATGAAACCCGAATGGAATCAAATTGAAGTTGAAAAAAAGCTAAACACCTTGGTTTGACTAGAACACTACTAGTTAACAAGATACGAGAATTCGTAGTAGAGCAGTTCTGCAGAAGAGTTAATATGATATTGTCTACTGGAATCTTTTGCACGGGAATTCGCTACTCATAGCACTAAAGATTTCCTGTCAATGAAATGGCATTACCATCTATGCGAGGATTTCGTAAAATAAAATTAACTTCTTCATGAGTGTGAACTTAAATAACAACTTTGATTTCGCGTGGAAAAATGAGATGTGCTTTGCGGTTTTAAGGTCTATGCAAATCTGTGAAAGAAAATCTATGAGGACTTACCCGGATATTGTTCATAGTAAGCACGTTATTGCATGCATCCATGTACTGCTTGAGATCGCGATCAACATATTCAAAGACCTAAACACATCATAAAATAAAAGAATAAAATCTCTGAGAGAAGCGCCATCCATTCGATTTCATTAAGCAACGTCGGACGTGATTGAATGCCTATCTGGCCTTTACAATGACTCGCGTAGGCCTACCGATGTATCCAGCCAGTGCTGCTATCCGCCCAGACAAGGCACCACCTTCCCACCTCATAGCGTCTTAAAATCACTACTTGTTGATTTGATTATTGGCTTCGTATGCGGTAAGAATAAACTGAATTGGAAAAAAGTCGGTATAACCATCAGTTAACGTAATGGTTTTATGCTAAATACTTGGTACTTGAATGGCCCGTACTCACTGGTTATGCGGGTACCAGCATAATCTCCATTTTTCGGAGATTTGCTGGTTAAGCCATTGTGGTTCCGTGGAATCCCGAGGACAGACTGACGAAAGTCTGCCCCAGGTCTTCACCACCACAGGTAGTCTCAGCCCTTGTGGATAAAAGGGTGATTTGCCACCACGTGACTGATACCAAGAAGGTGGTGGAACCTGGTATTGGTTTATCCTTAGCTAGGCTTCCTGATGACGCCGGACTCCTTCTATGGAGACTCTGCCAGGTGGACAAATCCCCAGCTTTGCATCGCAGTCCAACACCCAGGAACATCTCCCAGCCACGAGGCAGTAAACCGTTGGCACGATATGCTAAATAATGTTATAATAATAGTATGACAACAATGAGAAGCGTGTGGCACACTGGTTGCAAGTGCTCTGCAATACACACACCGTTGCTAGTTCGCTGCTGGGATCAGATCTCAGTAAGATTTCTTTCCTTCCAGAGTCGGCAATTTGGTATCGAGTTCACCTGGGAGGATATCAGCACTAACTCGATACATCGGTAAGCCCCAGCTAGTCATTCATTTGGTCAAATACGCATTTAGCGTACTGCATATTTCAAAGTGGACTAACGGCCTATTGCTTCGAAAACAAGATGCAACAAGGAAAAACATGAAGGAATAGAAGCCTTGGGGAAAATAAGCGAAAGTAATCGGAAGTAGCTCTCCGAACACAACAACACCCGTTCCGACATAACCGCGCAACCATGCAGGGACCAACGTTAAACACCTACTCTATTGTTTTGACCCCATAGTAGCCGTTCAAATAGATAAAATTCACTATTGAATTCACTCTAGATAACTGCAAAGAATGGTTCAAAATTCGAAATCACAAACACTTATAATTCCGATGTATAGAACTTTCTCCTGGCATCAATTCCTCTTTTTCTCGCCTTTTATCGATTACCATGAAATCCTCCAATTTGTCTCAAACTTTAAGGCATTTCTCAATATGCAAACATTCTAATAAGGTCGTACTTTTTATTACTGCCTATTTAAATAAGGACTTTTTACTTACTGCCTATTTTTTTAATAGTAGGGTTTAATGGCAGGACTCTCATAGTGTGGTGGTGAACGCAGTAGTCCCTGGAAAGGATAGTAGTGTGTTCGGTCCTCGCTGCGGACACTAGCGGTCCAGAATTTTGCAAATATCTCAATGTTATTATGGTTATAATCTAACAGTATTTCTGTCCAAGTTTATCGAGTAATACATTCACGAGAATATGGGAAATTAAATAATATGATAGACCGTATTGTCGTGAATGTGTTAATGAGAGTTCTAAAAAATGAAAGTGCATCAGTGGTTTTCGCGCGAATAGACCGGTGGAAAAAAGGTGAAATGTCAGGAACAGAACTTTATTACAAAATGAAGTTGCCTTGATCAAGAGACCCTGGAACGTTCGCAAATTGTCATACCGAACACATAGGACTTACTAGTGTGAGCAATCGATCCGTATGGATAATGTCATGAAGAGTGACCACATTCGCGTGCCGGAGATTCCGCAAAAGTGAAACTTCACGAATGGCTGTGCACGGCGCTCCTTCCTCCTGTTCCAGCCGAATCTCCTTAAAGAAAATTCTTCATTGGGAAACATCGACCCTTCCCATCAGCTAATGGCTTCAAATGAACTCGAATGCAACCATATTCTGAGACTATAAACTTCAAGATCACAAGCATTATTGAAGCTCGCAACTCCGTTGTGATTATGAATGCAAATGCCATTTTGGTGCTCTAATGAGAGAAAATAAAATCTGTGAAGACTGAAACCTTTAGAAGAAAAGATCTATTTGAAAGTATCGAGAGCAGAAAATATTTTGGACATGTTCATCAAGAACGGAAATTTCCCTACAAGACTGAACTGGACAAAAAACAGACCAGCTTTCGAGGGGTGAAAAACTAATGAACTCCCGTGATTTTTTCTTCGACTAAAAATGAACAACATAACATGGTCTGAAATGGAAAAGTGGAAAGGTTGCTGTGGAAACATCAGAACTTCGGAATGAGGAATAGCTGTCATTAAACGATTTCCGAAACTCAGTACTACTAGCAATTTGTTAAAAAAAATTATTACACTGGTCAAAAAAGCGCAATTCTATTTGTCTTCTCTTGGTAGTACCGTAATACACTGGCAAAAGGGTTTTCTCCAAAACCATGATACACGCCTCGAATCGACAACGGTGGAACGTCCTCAGCATAACAATTAACTTAGTCGCTAGTTTAGTGCCCCAACAACTTAAGCAAGCTCGTGCACTCGCTTTCTGGAGTTTTCAGCGATACTTACTGGAAGCAAAAGTAGGAAAGTCATTCGTAGACTCTCAGGAGATAAGGTCTTCGAATACATGTGATCTTCAGAGAAATTCACATCATCACTATGTTCAAACCACCAGCGCATCGATTATGCAACAAGAGACACTGACGAGAAGTGACGCGGAAATCCTCGAATCTTATCGGATTGTCAAGCAGCTAGGTCGCCCCATCGCTGCCTTTTAGCCAATTTCTTTCACAACCCAATCATGAGCACTTCACGTGCAGAGTCCCTCGCTTATTATCGAAGAGCTCGAAAATTAGATTTACGCCTCGATGATGCTTTCTTTCTCGATAACAACAGAACCAAGACGCTTCCCACTGATTTCTTCAACAACATATCGGTTTTTTGTTATTTTAGCTCACATAATTAGCACTACCTTATATCATCACTTCATCATATATGAGTGGTTTAACAGCGCATTAGAGTTCTTCTATGAAAAAAACAGAAAGGAGAAATAGAAGAAAGTAATGCCGGGAATGAACATCACAATCATTAGATAAAGCATTAGTGGGGTGGATATCTACCAAGGTACGAACACAGGAATAACGTTGAGACAATGGTGACAAAATGAACTATCCAATGCTTGAGTAACTCGCTGAATGGAATCACTTTTCTATTTACCGCCTATTCTTTTTTCAGAGCAGGGTATGCTGTGAGCTATCACCACAGTGATGCCATGAAAAAAATTGGCAATAAATAAAAAAGTCACTACATTGTGACTTATACTATAGGTTCAGCTTAACTGGATTCAATGGCGATTTGTGCTCTCCAGATCAATCCCGTTGACGGCTGATTGCTTATAGCACCTAGAAAAAACGGCTGAAAGAAAGGCGAAACGAAAGGCTCGAATGATGTGGTGGTGAACGCGTTACTCTCCGGAAAGGACAGCAGCGCGTTCGTTCCCCACCGCAAGCACCTGCGGTTCGGAGTTTTGCAAATATCTCAGCACCACTTTAGTTATAATTCGATGAATTTATAACGTTCAATTTAAGGAGAACTTAAGAGTTATAAGTCCCTTGGACATTTAATAACCATTAATACACACCAATCACTAAGAGCTATAGAAATCTATGTCTTTTCACAAATAAACAAACTCAGTAGTACCAAATTAGCACTTCGATCGCTCCTGTAGTATTCTACACCAAGGGAATAAACCGCCACCAACAACGGAATATACTAAAAAATTGTTGAGATATGAGCAAAACTTGGAACCACAGCTGAGCTTCGAGCCCGCGATTACCTTTTCTGGAGGTAAGCTTCAGCTTCAGCTTAACCAGATTCAGTGCCGATTTGTGCTACCCTGATCATTTTCAGAGATGACTGATTGCTGATGGCACCGTTATGGTGAAAAAGTGGTCGAGCAAAAGGCCTCGATTGTGCAGTGGATTGTGTATGAGGCCCCAAAAGGGTAATCACGTGTTCGATGATCACCTGAGGTCCCGAGTTTTGCTCTTATCTCAACATCATGGCTGTTGTACTTCAAACAATATCTGCTATGAGAAAATAATCGTAGGCAGTAAATGAAGGTTGAACATTGGAAAAAAAATTGTTATCAGAAACATCAATACCAATCAGAAATAGGAAGAACAGAGCACGGTGGAGTGCGGGTGAAAATCGTCTTGTTGGCTCGCCATTAATTGCAAACTATGCCTTTTTCATGAAACTTCAATTCTCGAAGGGATACGAAACCTTTGCTGGATGTTGCCATGGCCTAATGTAACCCCGACTCAATTGTGCGTCAATTGCAGCAATCTATCAAATTCACGCAAACATACAATGGAGAGAGACTCTTGATACCTACGCACAGCAGTGAACTTCTAATGAATCGGATCACCGCCTCATCAGTACAACGAATTGGTTCGGGCACGAGATGGCAAAGAGCTGCTATCGTCGCCCAAAAGTGAAAAAGAAATATATGACGAGAATAGCAGGACTAATTTTCCTTTAACCTCGGCATTGATCAATAATTCACTATTTTTATCAGTAAACACGAGACTGTTATTACAGCACTTATTCATTCACAATAGCTTCTATTTTGGTTTCCCCTTTACGTGGTCTGGAAAGATCAAATTCACACACAATCCATTCATCCAACATTTTCATAGCCTCATCACTTAAAACTGACAACACAGATTTTTCATTTGCACAATAAACACATTGTTACTACTTATCAGCTAGGGTTATGAAAGCGTTTGCCTGAGTAGATTTCGTGTTAATAAGACCTTTTCAAGTTCTGAAGAAGCGAAATCGACGAAGCGTCAGTTATTGTGAATTTGTGCTGTAATGAGCACCTTGTTTTTTCTTATCAATAAAACAGTAAATTATGACGAAAACATTTTTAACAGATCATGAAATACTACGAGCTTCATGACAGACTTGAAAGTTGTGACGAATACCGCCGTTTTCCGGATAAGAGATGCGGATCGCACCTCCCCTGCTCTAAGTCTTCCGATACGAGCAAACAATCGAAGCTTGACCAGACTGTAATGCAACCAACACAACTACTAATAAATACGAACAGGAGGAAATCTTTGCAATGGAAAATACATCGATACAGGTAGGAAAGAAATTTTGGGAGTACCTCGAAATAGAACCAATCCAAAAGAATTTCGCCGAAATGTACGCCAGTACAATGTTTGGTGTTTGGTTTAACAAAAAAAGAAAATGTTACTACTACCCCTTTACATGACAAAGAAATGAGGATGAATGAAATATGAAAGGAAGAAATTATGAACAAAAATATAAAAATAAAAATATGTGCTCAACGGAGAAGCAGTCACCAATCACCCAGAATCAAAACTCCGGAATCCATTTTTAGCTCCATTATCGTCGCATATATACGTACTAGTTATACAGCTGATTCATGAATTAACACTTCACTCACTTCGAAAATTTGACGCACCATCCACAAACCACTTAAACAATGAATCTCTCCCAAGATGTGATCGAGATACCCAAAATCAACTCGGCCTGTTCATTTCATACTTTGAGAAAAACCTATACATAAAAAGAAGCATGCGTAAGGAGATCATGCAATTAGAAGAGTTCGATACCAATAGACAAGAACAACGGTAGTGCTGAAACCTAAACGAAAGCAATATTCGCCAAGATTACCTCATCTATAACGGACGTGATTGTAGATAGTTTACATAGGCCAGGCATGTTCACAAATGGAAATGAGTAACCGTGAGTAAATGACTAAATGAGTTATTCACCGTGTAGTAACCGTGCTCAAAATAGAGCATCATCACTTACGATAATGAGGAGAGAAAGAAACGAGCCAAACATCTTCTGCGGTGAGCAAGCCTCTCCAGGTCGTGCCAAAACGATATAAAACTATGACAATCCCAGCATTTCTTTTTCTGAATTTGTCGTAAAACCCTGGGCACTGCACTTTTGAAAACACGGTGTTGAAGATGTGAACTTTATACTATTTTACTTCAAACCACGTTTAGTACTTGCCGAATTAACTCAGAAATGGAGTGAAGATTGGCTGGGAACTTCTAAATGTACGGACAACCCGACTTCGTATGGAAGCCTAAGACTCCATCGACAAAAAAATGTGTCGCAATGGATGTCTTTGTTTTGCGATCAATTCCACTTAAATTAATTAGATCATATCGTCAAAGGATATCTCTCGTTATCACTGTTAAGCTACATAGTTGAAAGTCAGGGAATTTTTATTTCAGCCAGTAGGCCAGCATTATCTAGCAACGCTTTTGAGGTGAAAGAACTCTTGAATGAATATGCAGCGCTTGTTTAAGCGCCAAGAATAGGAAGCAGGGAAAAAGAGCAGAAGAGAAAAACAGCAATCCTTCTTTCACTTCTGTGTTCGTTCCACCCGATTATGTGACAAGGTCGTTCAATTCTCCACACCATTAGGCTTTAGAATGATCATAACAACACGAAAGCTAAACATTTACTACCAAGAAAGAGTCATAGATCGGGGAGAACCAGACGAAGATGAACAAACATATGCATGGATTTGTAACATGGAACACTTAGGTAAAGGAAAGTATCTGAAGGTCATAACAGCAAAGTAACGTGAGAAGCAACAACGACTATTTGTCTGTCTAACGAAGCCGTCTTAATTAATTTCCATATCATCAACAGTCGTCCAATGCGACATACTATGCGATATCAACTCCTTGATCTGATTCTTCTCTGAAGACCCTTAGAGTTTAAAAATGCAATTTAACTGGTTCTGTAGACTAACTATGTTATATTAGTAGCCAGAAAACTAATTTCAATTATGTTTGCGCAGCTGATGTTTCATACTGCTCAACCACATTCACTCTACACGAAGAACAGAGATTTCGTTGAAGAGTCCGAATACGACTTTCGAAGGAGAATTAATAGGCCAACTATTCGCAAGAATACCCCAATTTCATTGACTATTTCTCAAACAAATTAGCAGAATATTGGTAGTTTTAGAGTTAGCCAAAGCACACTCTAAACATTCAAATGGAACAATATGATCAAAAGGTGTCACCCGTTAGCCTGCCATTCGACCTGCTCAGGAACAAAGAAACTGTTTAAAACTATGAAGTATTTCAAAAAACGAATTTATGATGTCTTTCAAGTAGTAGGACTGCAGAATTACTGCAGACAAAGACCACAAAAATAGAGGCTAATCATAGTAACGTACTTCTTGGGAAAATCGGGAGAGGGCCAAAAGAAAACATCAACCAAGACGATCCTGCTAAGAACCGCTCGTCCAAGAATATTCTTGTCCTTCGGAAACAGCCTTTAGTATGTCAAATGTAATTCGTATTAATACAAATTAATATTGTGAAATCACTCAAGAAAAATCATAAAGTAAACTTAGCGCAGTAGGTGCCTACTTTAACGCACTTGCGTTGTGACAACAGGAACTACGGAAATTCCCGTTATGGATTAGTGAAATATGATCCATGATCGCTTGCACACACGTCTCTCGAACAGATGTTGGTGTCAACATGATAGGAGGCATTCACACGCGGACGGATGCCGTGTACGCCTGAGAGGACGAGGTCACGCCACGAATAACGGCTCCCTCTGGGAATCTAAGGACTAATAGTGGCTTACAAGTGATGAAAAATTAAATCCATTGTGAGAAGGAATTCAACAGTTTGAGTTTCTTAGAACCCACTATGAAAACAGCTGTTTGTAGAAAATTTCATGACACTGTTGCGGAACGGTAAGCTGGACTAATAATGCTACGCATCTTACACTACAAACATTGAAAATAACCAAGTAATCAGGTAGGCTCGTCAGGTAATATTATGATTCCTCAGAAGTAATCAACGCTGGTAATACATCTCCTCCAAGATCATCGGGACCTCCAGAGACGAGAGTGCAGCAAATTCAAAATGATGAGAGAAGACTTGTGCCATTAAAGCAATCCACTCAACTCCATAATCGCCTGTTCAAGTAAGAAAAACTGCTTAGATGGAAGATATTTAATGCACAGATTCTTTACTAGGATTCTCCATTTACGGCAATAGCTCTTTCAAAGGATGATTGAGAGGAATCATAAACATTACATAAAACTACTACTTTACTAAATGTAACCAAATACAAAAAGTTGCTATAAGTGTGACCACATTAACTGTTTAAAAACAAATACAATCAATCGAAACACCTGCAAGCGAAATTTTTTTGCACTAAAAGGTTTCATTACGTAAACACTTGATTATATATATGTATATATATATATATATATATATATATATATCACCTGTTTGTAGTGCAATGCTTAGAGGGAGGGAGGTGCCCCGCAATACAAACTGGATTGATTCCGCGCCCCAGGCTCACTAAGCACTCAATCCCTCCGGGGTCGGCAAATTCGGACCAGAATAATCTGGGAGCACAGCAGCTCTAACTCGATACCGGTAGGCCACCGTGAGTCACTGTAAAAGCCAGAAATGTATTCAATCGTCGCCAACCACGCTTACTGAAGTCGGATGCATGGTGCATCCTTCATTAATTAATCAATGCCGAGAGCTTTTTCAACCACCTACATCCTACATCTCGTTTAAGCCTGATGATCACTTAGTAACTCGAGATTACACCAGTATACCAACTATTCATTGTGTCACATCAGCTAAGTTGGCTTTGAATGTTCAAAGGATACCAACAGCATTAAAACTTTCCTACAAGGTTTTTTATTTTCACTTCATTTCTTGAGAACGTAGCTACAGATCGGCCACTGGCATATATATATATATATATATATGCATATACATATATATATACATATATATATATATATATTAGAAATGTGAGCAATGAGTGGATTGACCAATTGCAAAGATATGTGGTGCACCTTAGGTCACCAACATGGATGAATTCAACACACACGTGAATTTATAAGATGGGTTTCCTATACTTCCGAACATCAGTAATCATATTCGTCTCTAGGTGCATGAGTGCCTGAGTGTACTTGCGCGCACGCAGAATATTAGTTGCACGTCAATATGGAAAAAAGCCGGAAATCAAGTGGCAGGGAAGTGTGTGGAATAGGTCACCTCCAGTTTACCTTTATGGAATGCTGTAAGCCTTACGTGCAAGTTGATAGAGTCCGACGAACTTCGCGTAAATACACCAAAATTGGAGAAGAACCCATGGATATCGTCGCCGAAAGTAGTGGAAATCGAAGGCCCTACTTTGATACTGTATTTTACTCGGGCAAGCACAGTATACTTGGCACTTCATATATATACATATGTATGTATATATAAGCAGTCGCCCTCTAATCCAATAAATAGTTATGAAAATATCTAGCTTGAAAGCGTTAAAATGACTACTATTCAGTTGCCAAAGGCAATAAATACATCAGACTCAACTCACATTTTTGATTTACAAATTGGCTTATAACGACCGGCCAGTTAACAGAAATGATATTCATGGACAATCTAGAAACCATTCAGCCAAAATGGGCGCACAACTGACACTTTGAAAACTAGATAACCAAATTTTTCTTCTCAGTAAAAGTTTTGGAAGCAACATGGAAGCGAGACAGAAGCAATATGTCGGCAAAAATCATATACATTCAAATACTACGAACATACAAACATACCAGATGACGAAATGATTTTCTAGAAGTAAGGTGGAAGACTTTTACTGGCACACGTACCTTAAGCGCAACGAATTTGTTGGTAAGTAATGATCGACCTCTAAATACAGTGGCATACGTTCCCTCGCCAAGCTTCTCGAGCTTCTCGTAAGTCTCCAGCTTACCGAATCCAATTTCGCTCTAAAATAGCTGTCGTAGAAGAAGAGTGGTAAATATATGCACTCATTACCTATGCGATTAAAAAACGACAAAGGTAAATAATAAACTTTTTAGATGCTTTAAGCGAAAAATAGAATCGAAATAGCAACGAGGTCGTCAAAAAAGAATAAAGAAATGTGGGAGGAAAACTGTAAATCCAGCACTGCGCACCAGTGACGCCCTGCGATTCTTCCGTGTTAGAGGTTGGTCGAGGGTGGGGGTTCTGTTGAGCTTCTCAACGACGCTGACTGGCAGCCGCAAATCAGCTGGTAGCGACAATCGTTTCTGGATCTCCTCCTATGAATAAGAGATAGTAAAAGGTATATAAAAAGACGGATGCAAAGTGATTTATCCAGAAAACGAAAACATGGTTATGAGGCAAAAAACCTCAAAGTATTGATCTTAAGAAAAGTGTCACTATTTCCGCAATAATCTAGACAGATTGTGTTTTCGCATTCAGTTACTGAACACAGACCTTTTCTTTATCCTGAGGTGGACATAGATGTTATAATCAGGTATTCTATTGGTAATACTGACACAAATGACTTTATTTCAGTACCGCAAGCAAGATAGCAAAGGCAGTTGATCTACAGCACACCTCGCTCCATTTTCTAGACGACTTCTGGCGCATTTTCACGTTCACGATATATCTCGGAGGCACGCCGGTCGGAGTTTGGTCTGAGGTACAAGGTGAAACCTCTGCACTTTCGCCGTCGGAACCCAAAGCTGACGATTCTTGCACCACTGCTGGAACTTGTATGATTATATAACCCTTCATAATGTTATACCTGCATTCTACTTTCACGTAAGAACTTGTTTCAGACGGGCTTCATGTAACATTGATATCATGGATTTTCAACATAATATCACAGAATTTCAGCACATGAATTGTTTCACAACCCGCTATAGTTTCGTGAAAGGAGTGGGTAAATATTGTGGATAACCGGTGTGTATTATTTCACAAGATAATGGGCACAAACCACCATGAAGAGAAAGTAGGAGCCCTTTAGATTGTAGCAGAACCCTTATTCCTACTGGTGAAACCGATTTATTGAATATAAACATTTCTGTTAAATTTGTTTCATGAAATAAACCAGTAATTGTAGAACTGATGCTTTCGAAGTTCAAAAGACGGCTCAACAGAGGGTGCGTCCACGACAGATGATGGGTTGACATCTGCTTTTGGTACCGCCTGTAGAAGGGTGCTTCGTCAGCTGTACACAGAAAAAAAGATATGATTCAAGGGAAACGAAGAAGTGGTCTCAACGGTCTCGGTCTCAAGGAATATATACGCGCATATGGCAATAAAAATAGCCAAATTCGCTGTTTAAGATGACACCAAAGGTGATGGAAGAACCAACATCTTCCCGTTCTGAAAACGAAGAACAATCATCAAAAGAGGTAGAGCTTATTAAACACGGTCATGGGTAAACCACTGCAACCATTTTCATCCCTTTAGTTTTTCCATTAAGAATCACTTGATGAAGTCTGTCGCCGATTACGATGTAACGTCAATTAATATGCCATGCAGACATGTAAAGTAAATCAATAAGGAGCGCCTCCAGGTTGTACTTCCAACTCATAATGAACGATGAACGCTAGGAAATGAGAAACCTACGTCTTTCCTTTAGGGAATGAATTGAACAATAGAACACTCACATAGTGACATAGACGGTCGAATGAACGGCCGGTAAGTTCGTTTTTTCGAGATAAACAAGCTGAGCCAGTTCGCGAATGACGACGTGGCCGACGACGATTTCGCGACATGGTGGTGGTGGAGATGGCGATGGAGCGAGCGTTCACCGGCGTCGTGCTCGTTGCCGTCCCCGCCATGGTCGGCCTCCGTACTGCGGTGCATCGCGGCGACGGCCGTGCACGCCACAGGAGACGACGTCGACTCGCAGAAGTCGTGGAACGTAGCCGACTTGGACAGCTTCGACATGGCAACTCGTCGCCGGCTGCAGCCCCATCCACTGCTGGACACTCCTCTATTGATCGCCCCGCCCACTTCCCTCCACACTCCGGGAGGCGAGGAGGCGGACGTGAATGGCCGCCGCGGCCAATTATGTGCCTCGCACTTGACGAGGCTCAGTACCCAACAGCGTAAGCGCAAGCTGCGCCATCGCTGTCAACGAGAATGCCGGGCTCATGCGAACCAGCAGTTCTGTAGAAGTTCGTTTATTAAATAAGAAGTTACCGAGTACGAATACCATCGTCGTTTCCCCCGCTGATTAACCCATTTTCAAAGGCGCGTCTACTCCTCCTCACATCGAACATGGGCTGATGGATACCTCTGCTAGGGAAGAACACATCTCACGATATGACTATGGGTTACACCACTTTAAATGTCCGTGCCACAATGCGCTAACATGTCATATAAGATGGGGTCATTTATAAGGTCATTGTTCGGCATAAGCACATTGCACGGATTTCATTAGACCGGACATAACCGATTTCCTAAATATATTTCATGACCTTCTGTGTTGTCTTCAATGCTACCACTATGTAAGTCAGAGAATAACATCTGGCAGACAACATGTAACGAAACGAGCGACTGGACAGTGTGCAGTGGCAGCTGCAAGAATGTCCGCAAAAGATACAACGCACTCAGAAGAATGATGGAACAGATTTAATGGGTGATTTAGGGAAAGGCTAGGTCATCTACCTGTTCAGGAATACACCATTACCAAGACGAGGAATTCCTTGTGATCCAATGAACGTATGTATTAGAAGAAAAAATTGACAACACAGAAGTTGAACCTAGCAGCGGGATCTCGTACATGTGAGAGACATTCCCTCTCAAAAAAAAGAATAGATTAAATGAAACATAAGAAGAAGAAACAAGATTTTCCTGTAAAGAAATAACTATAATGTGTAGCGCTAATAAAACATTCGTCCCGAAAGAACCGTAATGTTGATGTCACAGTCATGCAGATTCACTAGGCATCTATCTCGCAGTTAATAGTTTACGATCTTTTAAACCCGTACGTGAAAAAATTCGCTGGAGAACACGGTGAATTTCAAGTGCCATCACTGACGTAAGTGACGGAAACAAAATGCCTCAGTGATTATCACTCTATTGGAGAGCCTTCCTCTCCCAGGAGCTGTGACTCCTGTAAGAATTTGATTAACAGTGAAATATTTTCCATTTGAAGTTTTTACTTCTCCTACACAAAGCTGACTCTTAAGCATAAGTTAGTAGCAAGTTGTTTTCGTCTTCCGCCGCATTAGATGATGGATGTTGCGGTTTTGAATGCGGAAATCCTGGACTTAACTCTTGAATATTGCTGCGGCAGGACTTCTTTAACGACGATGCCCGTACTTTTTGCAACCATTTTAAGCCTTAATCCTTTTCATTTTAAAATGAATAAACAGTAGTGGATAGGTACCAATGTTAACAACAAAGAAGGCCGTAATTTCCATTACAGCATGAAATAGTCATGACACCGAACGGAAGCTGTTTGGTAATTACATGAAGCAATTGGATCAGAATCGATGTGAATTTACACAGTGATATGTGCAATTGTGTAGGACGATGTAGTTACACAAATTAACTGCAACTACAATGATGTATGACCGATATGAAAAGAATCACACTTTGTAAAATCGTCAACCGCTATTTGCATTGCTTTCGATGCACATGGTAATCGGATGCTACACATTGAAAAGCGTGTGTGTTCACTGCTGATCACTTTGAGTTGATCAAGTTGATCACTGCTTGGTAATGACACAAGATTCATAGGCAACATATAAGATTTCTCAGAGGATTATCGCAACTAAACGGAAGTCCTGCTCTCATGTAGACACTCATGTATTCATCACTTGCCACGCCCTCACTTTCCAAAAACATTCGTTCCAGAAATCTTGCAAACAGGTTTCAAGACATGTTTTCTCTTTGTAAAATTTGGAAACATAAAACTAAAGTGATACTGAAACTAATGTGCTGAGGTCCGCACAATTCGTGAGGACGGACCATCCAAGTATCCACGTAAAACTGAAATATAAAAGCCGCTGATAGATAAGTCCGCTCGGTATGCGATAACATTGTATTGAAGATTCGCCACCTACAGTAAGATTGCTGAACGAACGTATTTTAATCGAAACTCCAATCCTAGCAAAATGGGCTTCAATATTTACTGAACTCTGCCGATTAAGTTAAAATTTCACTTTATTAGGGAGAATATTGTCGCTTCATCACTAGTAAACGCTTTGGCTATCGCCAATATCAACTAACTAACAGTTAAAAAACCAAACCCTCAGAAATAGAAAACTCGGCCACCGGCATACAAAACAAAGAAAAAGGTATAAAACAAGACAGAAGAACCACTTTCCTAAGCACCTGACTTATCACGCCAATTGATTTCATATTTTCAATCTCCTCTACTGACAAAAAGAATCTCGAGGAGAAAAATCGAATTCAAGGTTGAGAAGTGATATAAGTATGTGACAAATTTAACACGACTAATGCAAAATTTTAGACAAGAAAGCCGCTCCCAAACGGAGCAAACTAGCAGAGATATGGAGGTTGGGCTGGGACACGTATGAAGATGATCGTAAAGATGATCCATTTCAGTATTCAAGTGGACAAATGATGAAATAAATGGAGCGATTGCCAAGGCTTCTCCACATCCTACACGACGAACACGGTTTTTCTGAAGGCATGACTTCTCTATCAGTAAAGTGGAAAAGTTGAAAAGCTTACGGATTTATAGCAAAGAGTTTGCTCCACGATTTCAATACTGTATACCACTTCGATAAATTATTCTTCCAGTTGATATATTTATTTATATGATCTGCGAGGTTGGTATAGGTCCTCGTTGTTGTTGTCGTTGTTGGCTGACGTTTCGGCGATTTCGTCTTTCTCAGAGCCGTGATGTTACGAGTGGGATCAGCCATCGACACCAACAGCAATGACAACGAAGACCTATACCAACCTCGCATCAGCTAAAGAAGATCAGTTTATAAGATCATATAAATAAATATATCAACTATCTATGCCGAGGTTTATAGAAAGTCGGTCTTTTGAGTTATTTTTCCAGTTTTAAATTTACTTAGAATTAAAACTAGAGAAAAACTTAAGCCAAAACATAGATCTTTGAACTTTCCCACGATAGCGCTCTAGCTGGAAGCACCGACAATGCACTGGGAACACCATCGTGATCTACTAGACAAAGAGCCTCAACGAAGAAAAACGGCAAAAACATGTTACGTTGGGTTCAAAAAACCACAGTACGGTAAAATAAGAGAAACTTCCATAAAAGATCTTAGATTCTAGTAGTACTAGATTACAACTGATAAAGTTCACTGTGAAATGAAGCACGTTGGCTTGAATTGAAAGCGGCCATCACTTTCGTACGACTCCTGTAGAGGTCACGTCGCTGCGTTAGTGTAAAATGTGATTCGAACCGTCCAGTCATGTATTTCAGGTGTAAGTGGTTAACTGATTCAAACGTGTAAAATAGAACAGGATGGCAACGGACACCGAATTGTAATAAAATGCCGATCTACACAAGATGTTAACTCACACGTGTGTGATCCATAGTATCCGGAATATACCCTGGGATTATACATGCTCGTAGTCTTGGACTGAGGCACGGCTCTGTGATATCGATGGTACGGATGGCGAAGCACGGCTATCGAAGAGTCACACTCCTCCACAATTACGCCCTCGACAGCCAATCTTAACACAGTTTAGGTACAGGTTGGAAACTGTTATACTTTACTGTTTAATGTTGTATTCAACAAATACTTGCTCAACCACTTCCACGATAGGTCAAAAAATCAAACCATTGCTATCGCAAGGATATCTTTCATAAATAATAAATTATATTTATATATTGAACGAAACTGGGTTTCGAAAATAAGACATGAAAGAAGAGGAAAATCAAAAACTTTTCGATCTGGTGGCAGATCAATCGATAATTAAAGTGCTTGAAAACGTTACGACATAACGAGCTTGTGCAAGAGACTTTCTATCATTGCTAAAGATTATACATGTATATGTACCAGAAATTAATGTACAATAAAACTTGCACGAGAAATATAACACTGACTGACTCCAAACCCTAAATTTTTGTGGCTGCCGCATCCACATGACGCCGAAACATTCGCCTCACTAGTTTTAGGATGATATCAACATGTTCCGATCAAACCGGCCCTTAACAAGCGACACCGCCTCTCTGATGCACTTTTCGTTCCACAATTCGGTGCCCTACGTATTTCATTTGAAGTGTCGTAGTTTTTATTTCATACGTATCCTCCAAGTTCTTCTTTGCATTCCAGATTGCTTTTGGGGCATTCCGCACAATTCTGTTTGATGAAAAGGGATCTGCACACTATAGACCCTGGTACCACTCATATCGGATAATCGGGATTACAACATATACCAACTACATCTAGTAAATGTGTTTACATTCATCTAGTTGGCACGGTATCCAGAGTGCATCCCGGTTACTTGAAATGAAGGAAATGCCAACTACTACTTGAAACCGACTTTTATATGCCTCACACTATACACTTTTATGTGCACTTTAATATACCGCAGCGCACACGTGTTCGGGTAGCGCAGTGGCAGTGATGTCTTTCAACATGCGCAAGGAGCTACTTCAACGGCGGGATTTAAACCAGTAGAACGAACTCGTGAGAAAACGATTTTCATGCACTTATTAAATAAAGAGATTAGTTTGGGTTAAGTGAGGAGAGGTATTTAGAGCTGCTCTACTAATTCACGAACAATCGTTGGTTCGACCATGGCCAAGCCCTATTAGACTCCCTCCCTCCGATGTCAGCAAACTGCTACCAATACTGTCTAAAAAACTCCTACGGATCCATAAAGGCTTTTGGCCTTCTGTGGTAAAGAACTCGGAGCACTAGTTAAGTACTTGAAAATGATCAGCATTTAAAGACGTTCATAAAGATAACCGAAAATCGTCAAGCTGAAGCCGAAGTCACATGTAAAATCCGAACACCGTCGTGGAATATTACATATATATTTGGATATTTAGATGGCTCGTCTTCACTGTTTGGGCTGGCCACAGCATAATCCCTATTCTTGGGAGATTTTCTGGCTTGGCCATTGTGGTTCTCTGGTGTCCAGAGGACAGCCTG